TGAGAAAAAATAATGTAGACGAGATTTTAGAAATTTAAAAATAAAATTAAATCGAGAGCGATCGGAAATACATTATATCTCTTGGAATAATTGGAAAATTGGATTTTTAAAAAACCAGTAAAGTGAACGAAACGGAAAGTTGAAACTTGAAAATTATCGAATTCCTGGCGTTTCCCTGGACCCTCAGCTATCCGACATCCTCCCTTCCATTCTCTTGATCATAGGCTATCATATACCAATAGGCGAATTCCGCAACTAGTGGCTTATCCTGTTGCCTTCGCATCCATTTGATTATTTCCAAATCATCGGCACCCTCACTTTTTTGATATTCCACACAGGCATCCAAAATCGAGTCAACTGTTGGTTTCGTTTGAAGAATTCGACTTTCTCCGAGTAGAAGGTGCTCTTCGAGAACGCATTGCATCACTTTTAGGAGATAGGTGAATGTGATTTCTTGGAAATGGGAGTGGTCTTCTGCCACATTGAGAAGATATCTGGAAAATTAATTTCAAGATTTTATGTGAATTTTTTTTTCAGAAAAAACATTTTTTCAAATTTCCACCAAATCTTGAAAAATCGTTGTGAAAATTCATTTGCTGAAAAAATTTAAAAAATTGCTTTTTGCTTGAAATTCAGAGTCCGAAAAGAAAAATCTGTTCAGATCTTCCCAATTCTTGAGTTTTCTGGGATTTCCTGAAATTCTTAAATTTCTAGGACTTGTGGAATTTTTTTCGGTTTTCAGAATCACGGAACTTCGAAGTACTGAGAATCGTTGTAATTAGCTGGAATATCTTAATTTCCGAATTTCTGAATTTCTCAATTTCTGAATTTCCGATTTTCTGAATTTCTGAATATCTGAATTCCTGAATTTTCGATTTTCTGAATTTCTAAATTTCCGATTTTCTGATTTTCTGAATTTCTGAAATTCTGAATTTCTGAACTTCTGAACTTCTGAATTTCTGAATTTCGGAATTTCTAAATTTCTGAATTTCTGAATTTCTAAACCTCTGAATTTCTGGAACTCCTGAATTTCTGAATTTCTGGATTTCCTGAATTTCTGAATTTCTGAACTTCTGGATTTCCTGAATTTCTGAATTTCTGAATTTCTGAATTTCTAAATTTCTTAAATTCTGAATATCTGAATTTCTGAAATTCTAAATTTCTGAATTTCTGAATTTTTAAACCTCTGAATTTCTGGAACTCCTGAATTTCTGAATTTCTGGAATTACTGAATTTCTGAATTTCTGAATTTCTAAATTTCCGAATTTCTGAATTTCTGAATTTCTAAATTTCTTAATTTCTGAATATCTGAATTTCTGAAATTCTAAATTTCTGAATTTCTGAATTTCTGAACCTCTGAATTTCTGGAACTCCTGAATTTCTGAATTTCTGAATTTCTGAACCTCTGAATTTCTGCAACTCCTGAATTTCTGAATTTCTGGATTTCCTGAATTTCTGAATTTCTGAATTTCTAAACATCTGAATTTCTGGAACTCCTAAATTTCTGAATTTCTGAATTTCCTGAATTTCTGAATTTCTGGATTTCAGAATTTCTGGAATTCCTGAATTTCTGAATTTCTAAATTTCTTAAATTCTGAATATCTGAATTTCTGAAATTCTAAATTTCTGAATTTCTGAATTTCTGAACCTCTGAATTTCTGGAACTCCTGAATTTCTGAATTTCTGGATTTCCTGAATTTCTGAATTTCTGAATTTCTGAATTTCTGGAATTCCTGAATTTCTAAAACTTTTATTACCGTAAAGCCTGTTATAGAAGGACCCCCTAACATTCAACTTTGAGCCAATTTATCTAGATTCCTGTAAAAGATATCAAAAATTGGTCAACTGATAAATTGTTTATTATGATATCACAATCATTTTGTCAGTTGTTCACTTGTTGATAGCTCTTATAGGAATCAAGATAAATGAACTCAAAGTAGCCCTTCTATAACAGGTTTTAATGTAGATAGAAATCAAACTCTCCAAAGCCTATAAAAACTCACAAAGTCTGTTTGAACGCCCAATCATTTTTATTAAAATGTCCTATCAGAATTTTGGGATCCAAATGATTCGCGAATTCGATAATATTGCTGATCATTTCCTCTTGCAACAAAAGGTCCTCTTTAAAATCCGCCGCTTTTTGCATAACTGCTCCCATCGCGTTCCTTTGGCATAGAATTGATTCCTCATTTGACTCTTTTTCAGTTTCCATAACACAAAGGCTCCGAATAACGAGTTCAAAATCGTAGAATAAATTCTTTGGATATTTCATTTGAACCTCAGCAAAATTCAAACTTGTCGCCATTTGAATCAGATGATTTTTGAACGAATTATCGTCATTTGTGCGCTCAACAGCTGTATTGTGCTCGCTTCTGAAAATTCAAGATTTCAGGAAATTTTTGAAATTTGAATTTCAAATTATTTAGCCAAAAATTTAAAAAACTGGTTTCAAAAAATTGAACTTGGAAGGGAGACTCTTGGATTTTTTGGCATTTTTGGGTATTCAGAATTTTTCGAATTTTAGGAAATTTCAGAATTTTATCTTATGATTTCTTTGTTGCAATTTTCGGATATTTAGATCTTTTGGAATTTTTAGGAATTTAGGAATTTTAGAATTTCGTGGAATTTTAGTGATTTTTAGAATCTGGAAGTTAGAAAATTTTGGATATTTGGAACTATTTTAGCTTTTGAATTTTCAAAATTCTTGGAATGATTGAATTTTTGGAAATTTTGAAATTTTGGATTTAAGGGTTTGTAGGAGATTTTAAGTTTTTTTAATTTTTCGGAATTGTAGGAGTTTTTGGAATTCAGGTGTTTTAGGATTTCTTGAAATTTTAAGATTTTTGGGATTTATGGAATATTTTGGAATTTTGGAGTATAAAGATTTTTCGAAAAATTTTGAGATCTAGTGTTTTAGGATTTTTGGATATTCTGAAATTTTCGGATTTTTCGAGTTTTTAAATATTTTTTTAGATTTTTCGTATTTTTTGGAATTTTTGGATTTTGAAATTTTTTCATTTTTTGAAATTTGGATTTTTGAGTTTTTTGGATTTTTTTGGAATTTCAAGATATCAGGATATTTTGGAATTTTCAATTTTCCGGAATTTAGGATTTTTGAATTTCTTGGAATTTTGAGTTTTTGTGGGAATTTAGATTTTCTGCAGTTTAGGCTCCGCCCACTTTAACCGGAATTTTTTGTTGAATCACTGGTATTTTGAAATTGGTTGACACGGGTTGAAGTGATATCTTAAATGGAAAAAAATCCAGTTTGGACAGAAATTTTTTGAAAAATCCAAAAAAAAAACTGACAAAATGCATTTAACGGTTTTGGGGAAAAAACAAAAAAGCAACCGCGCTTCACTGAACATACCGAGGAAGCGTGCCAAGTAACAAACTCACATGAATCGCTTAAAAACACAAAGAGCCCCATGAAATGTGTAATCCGCAAAACTTTGAGATCTTCTGATAGTCTCCACGGTCAATTGAAAAAGTTCTCGTTCGATTTGTGGATTCATGGATAACATTTCAAATTTAACTAAAATAAACCATGCCGAGTAACGAATGAAATGGTCCATTTCCGTTTCTCCGGAAGGATTTTTCTTCAACACTTCGAGGAGTATGCGTCCAATTTCTTTGATCTGCTCAGGACCGAACTCGTCGAATGAGGAATCGGTGCTGAAATTTTGGAATTTTGAAAAATTAGAAACTGAACTCTAGAGCTATTTTGAATGTTTTTTTTTGAAGCCAAGAAATAGCTGACTTGTGAAAATTGAATTTCTAAAGTACTGAAATTAATATCGTGAGTGGTTTAAAAGAAGGTTACCCAATACTCAAACTTTGAGCCAGCTTATCTCGGTTACTGTAAAAGATTATCAAAAACTGGTCAACTGATAAAATATTGGTGGTATTATGATAAACATTTTATCTATTGACAAATTTTTGATATCTCTTATAGGAACCGAGATAAATGATCGCAAAGTCTGTCGTTAGAGACCGACGATGAGAAAGTATTGGGATGACATTGTTCTATATTTGAAAAAATATATACATGGCACTGTAGCCCACCAATTTTCCTACAAATTAAGCTAAAAATCCTGGAAATCGAGCAAGTTTAAGCAGAGTTATGCGCCTTCAAACTTTGTGGACGGCGCCAAACGACGAGAGCACTCTCGTTTCTCTGCGTCTCTCTGGATGTTTGAAGGCGCATAACTTTCTTCAAACTAGAGTTAGAAAAGGGAAAATTGCATAGTTTTGTAGGAGATTTTAAGAGCTTTCTGATGGTATACAAAAATTAAAAAATTAGAATTATAAATTTTGAAAACTTATTTCCAGAAATTTTTCCTTGTTGATCAATTTTCACTGCTCTCATTAGAAATATCAAAAAGTGGTCAACTGATAAAATGTTGGTGATATTATGATAACTTTTTATCAGTTGACAACCTTTTGATATCTATAATAAGAACCGAGATACTTGAGCTCAAAGTAGAGCAAGTACAGTATCTCAAAAAAATGTATTATTCTTTGCTGAAAACCCATTTTGAAGCATGAACCGATTTTTCTCAAGTTTCAGGGTACTTGGACAATTTTTAGTTAATTGTTTGAGCTCCATTTTTGCTATTTTCTTGTGTGAAATAAATTTTTGGAGCCTAAAAAATTATCAAACCCACTTTATGAACAATTGCAGGAACCAAATGGAGGCAAAATCGATTTCCTTAGATTCAATTTCCACTAGTCGAAGAGCCAAACATTTTTGCAAACATCTCCTCGATTCCCGCTTCAGATCTTCACCCCATAGAGATTTAAAATATTCGTCCAAGCTATCAAAAATCTTCGAAAGTACTGCATGATCGGGAAAATGTTCGTTTTTAGTGTAGAAATCGAACGCTTCATGGCATTTATCAATTGATTGCGTTGTCAAAAATTTTACAGCACGTGCTGGAAATAATGGAATCCGATCTGCCTTTAGACTAATACCTGAAATGTGTTTCAATTTAAATTTTGAGTTCAAAAAATACCGTAAACACTCTATTAGAACGCCATCCACTTTGAGCCTATATATCTCACTTCTTTTGAAAGATATCAAAAAGTTGTCAACTGATAAAATGTTTATCATAATATGAGCTACATTTTATTAGTCGATCACTTTTTGATATCTTTCACAGAAAATGAGATACATAGACTCAAAGTTGACGGGTTGGATGGTGTTCTATTAGAGTGTTTACGGTAGTTAAAAAACCAAAAATCCCTACATAAGCAACCCACAACTTCCAATGTGTTATGTGATTGTACTAGTTTCACAATGTCGCAGAAATCCACAGCATTTTGAAAGCAATCAATGATTTCTAATGCTGGAAGAGTCCTTTCGCAAGCCACAAAGAATTTCAGATTTTGGGAGAATGGTTGAGAACTTGGGTGGTATTTTTTTCTGGAAATAATAGATTTTAAAATATGAACACCTTTATTTCAAGTCATCAAAAATTTTGAATTCTCCAAAAACTCTTAAAAATTGAATTCAAAACTAAGCTTAGTTTCAGAATTCAGCAATTCAGACCCTGAGCTCTCTAATAGAAGCCAACCCTATTAGTGCATGTTGAGAAAGTTTTGGGACAATCTTTCCGACATTTTTCTATATAATAAAGTTATATGACCTTGTAATCCTTAAAATTTCCTACAAATCTAACTAAAAATCATAAAAATCAAGCAAGTTTAAGCAGAGTTATGCGCCTTCAAACTTTGTGGACGGCGCCAGACGACGAGAGCACTCTCGTTTCTCTGCGTCTCTCAAAATGTTAAAGGCGCATAACTTGCTTTAAATTAAATCTAGAAAAACAAAATTTACATAGTTTTGTAGAAGATTTTAAAAGCTTTCTGAAGGTATACAGAAGTTGTAGGAAAATTGAATTATAATTTTCGAAATTTTATATTCTGACATTTTTCCTTCGTAATCAATTATCACGGCTCCTGTGAGAGATATCAAAAAGTGGTCGACTGATAAAATGTTGCTAATGCTGTGATAAACATTTTATCAGTTGGCAGATTTTTGATATCTCTAATAGGAATCGAGATAATTGAACTAAAAGTTAACTATGTAAATTAATTTTTAGTGATATCCCAAAAACTCACGAATCATACAATCCCAAATTCAAAACTCGCAATTTTGGCAACTCAAAAATATCCATCATTGCTTGAGAGCTTTCAATTTTCACGTCTCCTATCCGAAGGACTTCCAGTAGTTGAAGTTGTCGGATTCCTTGAAGACTGGTCACGCCGGACCCATGAATTTCCAGTCTTTCGAGTTTTTTGAATTTATTACAAAGATTCAAAAATTCATTTCTGGGAAGAGGAATGTGTCTTAAATGGAGGGCTGAGAGAAAGGCGACGAGTTGGTGAAGCTGGAAATTTATCAAAAATTGATTCTTATAAAGTTTGAGTATCACTTACTTTTAGGATCCAGTTTTCTGGAAATTCCAAGTTTGAATTGTCTAGACTCAGCGTGCGCAAACCTTGTCTGGTTGGTAGGTTAATTAATCTATTCAGAAAGTCCATAATGGACGTTGGAGGTTCGGTTTCTGAAAAATTAATTTTTACATTCCTGAAAATGTATGAAAATTGAAAATCAAATTTTCAAAAATTTTAAGCCAAAAAGCGAAAAAAAAATCAGTAGGAAATGAAAAAAGCCAGAGGAGGATTGGAAATTTTGGATTTTCAAAAAACAGAATCTACCGTATTTCTATAAGTACTGTACCAAAATTTATGAAACTAGTAAATTTGATTTTGTTGTGAGAATAGCTTCAAAATGAGTATAAACACGACTAAACTCCGCCCACTTTGAGTTTTCACCTAGGCAGGCGACGCACGACCGCGACGCGTCTCAAAAATCAAAATGGGCGGAGCCTAGTCGTGTTGAAGCTCATTTTGAAGAGCTTAGTGAGTTGAGCATAACTGTAGCACTTTAATAGTAATGCGGAATTGATTTATTTTTTGGATAACTTTAGAAGATAGGGTCTCACCACGAAATTTTGAAAATTTTGATTTTTCGTAAAATTGTCCCCTCACCTGCATATTTGATCACTAAAATCCTCAATTTCAGTCTCTGCATCATATCATACAACTTGCTTATGTCTCCCTGTCGACTCAAAAAAACCACACTGACTTCCAATTTTCTCGCAATCAGCGCAGAAATGTCTTTCGTGATCTCCCATCCGGAATTGAAGATAAAACGGAAAATTTCGTTGGCATCTTCTCTTTCGCTCACTCGAGGCATGTCTTGGGCCCCATTTGCTGAAATGCAAAATTTAGTCGTAGAACCTGTAGTAAGAGAGCACCCTAGCGTTTGACTTTGAGCCAATATACCTTGGTTGCTGTCTAATATATCAAAGTTGTCAACTGATAAATTGTTTATCATAATATCACAAACATTTTATCAGTTGATTCATTTTTGATATCTCTTGTAGGAGCCGAGATAAACGAATCCAAAGTTATGACATTAAACATCTGGGGAGACGCAGAGAAGCGAGAGTGCTCTCGTTGTCTGGCGCCCTCCATGAAATTTAAAGGCCCATAACTCTGCTCAAAATTGTCCGATTTTGTTGATTTTTAACTAGATTTGTAGAAAATTTGAAGGGCTACAAGATAATATAAGTTTGTTTTTTCAAATGTATTAAAATCATTATAACTCGGCTCAAAAATTTTCATTTCACCTGATTTTTTGTGTTATTTACTTTGAGCTCAATTATCTCGGTTCCTAAAAGTGATAAAAAAAAATTTGTCAACTGATAAATTGTTTATCATAATATCATACACATTTTGTCAGTTGATACATTTTTGCTGCCCTTCTATTACAGGTTTACGGTAATTTTTTTTTGATTTTTCAACGAAAAAAAAACTCACGATTAGTCAAAACCTGTATGGCTATCTCTTTGTTGGCTTCTGACATGGTCATTGTAATTCAAGGCATTGGAAATACCCAAAAATATCTGAAAAATAAATTTTCGAAGAAGCGAATCCTGAAAATCGAAAAAATATATAAAAATATATAAAATATGAACAACCTAATAATTACCCTAATAATTGGAAATTTCTGATAGATGCACCATTTTTTGAAAATCTGAAAAATTGATTTTTTAAAGAAAATCTCCTGAACAGCTTTAAAGTCAAATTTCCTATTTTTAAATTTCAATTTTCTCTTTCCCAGGTGCGAAAATTAGGTCTACAGGTGGTCCGAATCAAAAAATTCAAATCAAATTAATTTTTTTTGAAGGAGACAGCTGAAAAGAGGCGGCAGTGCATCATATGATTATTTTGCTAAACACCCGGTTGCCATGGAAACCTAAGCCTTAATAACAACAGGAAAAATCATGCGGGCAGCTGAAAAGAGCGAAAAGATTAGAGAAAAAAGTGAGACGCAGAGAAATGAAGAGGACATCATCTCCAGGGCCGGCCACGGTCAGCCGTGGCTCATCTTTTCTTTAGTGGAGTCTAAGCCTAGAGTCTATAGAGCCTATAGAGCCTAAGCCTAACCTATAGAGACTGAGCCCAAGCCTATAGAACCTATAGAGCCCAAGCCAATAAAGCCTAGGCCTAAGCCTAGAGAGCCTAAAGATCATAAGATAGTTAAAAAAAGATCAGGAAAAAAGAGAGACGCATAGAAATAGCACAGAATGGAAAAAATATCAAAAAGAAGAGTTAAAGTATTTTTCAAACGGAAAAGCAACCCGTTAATTAGTTAAAAAGTTAATTAGAACTTTAATTAGTCAAAAATTTTTTATTAACATTCAGAATTTCAAACCAAGTTAAAAATCTACAGTCAATATTAGTGTTACATCACACGTATTAATAAAAGAAATCGAGATTATCAAACAGACAACAAGGGCCCTACAGTGACCCTAGGGGTTTTTAAGTGGCCGGTTCCTAAAAGTACTCTGACCAACATCCCGAACACTGAGATCATTAGGTTTTACAATATACACATATAAAATAGATTATCAAGTTTATCACTGAATTCTTGGAATCTTGGTTGCTGGTCCCTCCTCCTTGGTAAGGCTTCCATTTCGATCGGTCAGAAATCGCCGACCGCCGACCGACCACCGACCCAGCCGACCGACCACCGACCGAGCTGACCGATCGGTCGGCGCGCCGACCGATTTCATGCCTTTGCGCATAAAAACACGAATTTTTGCGTACGAAGCACTTTACTTCACGACAAACGAGGCTTTTAGTGAGTAGTTTGTCGTAAAATACAATGCAGCGTATGCAAACACGTTGACGCGCAAATGCACGAGATCGGTCAGTTCGGTCGGCTGTCGGTCGGCGGGGTCGGTGGTCGATCGGTCGGCTAAATTTCCCGACCGAATGGAAGCCTTACTCCTTGAATCCGTCTAGCTGATTCTCCTTCTCATAAGTCCTCATGAACAACCTTGCCAGATCCTTAGCCTCCTCCATCTTTTGTGATCTCTCTTGATCTTCAATCCATTTCCAAATTTCCATAAAACTGGCATCTTCCTCTGTCACGTATGGTTTTATAGCTTCTGATATGAACTTCATGGAATGCTCGTGATGTTGAAGAAGGCTTCCGTTTGATTTTAGTAGCCCTGATTAAATTCTTCGAATGATATGTAGATGCAGATCAAGTGCCATCATCTGATATTGGTGATTGGCAGAAGTGTCGTTGAGGAAGTGCCTGAATTGTTTTTTCATTTAGTTTCAAAAATTACCATCAGAAAGCTCTTGAAATTTCCTACAAAACTATGCAAATTTTACTTTCCTAGCTACAATTCGAAGCAAGTTATGCGCCTTTAAACATTTTGAGAGACGCAGAGAAACGAGAGTGCTCTCGTCGTCTGGTGCCCTCCACAAAGTTTAAAGGCGCATAACTTTGCTCAAAATTGTCCGGTTTTATTGATTTTCAGCTAGATTTGTAGGAAATTTGAAGGGCTACAAGATCATATAATTTCTTACTTAAAATTTAAAAATCATCTCGGTTCAAAACAATTAATTTTAGTTGATTTTTGTGTTATTTTAAATTTGAGCTCAATTATCTCGGTTCCTAAGAGAGATATAAAAAATTTGTCAACTGTTAAAATATTAGTCACATTAGCAACACTATTTTATCAATTGACCAATGTTCGATATCTCTAATGGGTGCCGTGATAATTGATCACCAAGGAAAAATTTCCGAAACTAAAATTTCGAAATTTATAATTCGAATTTTCTACAACATTTTTATACAATCAGAAAGCTCTTGAAATTTCCTACAAAACTATGCAAAGTTTACTTTTCTAGCTACAATTCGAAGCAAGTTATGCGCTTTAAAACATCTTGAGAGACGCAGAGAAGCGAGAGTGCTCTCGTCGTCTGGCGCCCTCCACAAGGTTTAAAGGCGCATAACTCTGCTTAAAATTGTCCAATTCCATTGATTTTTGGCTAGATTTGCAGGAAATTTCAAGTGCTACAAGGGCATATACTCTTTTCATTTTTATCATATTCATTTTTTGAAAATCACAAATTTCAGTGAGATTTCCAATGGTATATAAAATAGGTTAATCTAAACTTTAAACTGGCTTAAATTTCAGAAAAGTTTGAAATTTTTGAATTATTTTCTTAAGTTTTCAGGTCATCTTACATACTTCTCAACCTTTCAGACATCTACAAAAAAGAGCTTCTAGAACTTTCCTAATTTTCAGATTTTTCAAAAAACCCACCATGTGTCAAAAATCGTCTCGCCAGAGCTTTACTTGCACATTTTGACATGGAGAATTGCATTTTTTGTTTTGGAGGAAGAATTACTGAATAAAAAGATTAAGAAGAAGGAAAAAAAAAAAGAAAATGAGGAAAAGAGAGAGAGAAGAGAATTAGACAGAAAATAAAGAAATACAGCAATGCGGCCTTGAAAAATTGGAAAAAAGTTTTGAAAATCAGGGATTCAAAAATAGAACTATTTTTCCAAAAAAAAAAAATTTCGGCCCAAAAAGTTAGAAAAGGGTCCATACTAAGTAGCTCTGATAAGAAATCAATATCATTTTTTTTCCGAAATTTCAATTTAAAACCCAGGAAAAAAATATATAAGTAGACCCAAAGAAAACCACAGAATCCTAGAAAACAAATTCAGCAAGACTGTAAATCATTAAAACAATGAAATCAATCGATAAATTGATGCAACCCCGCCCTATCTCACTTTTACCATGACAACTTAAGGACAACAAGAGTGAGAGAGTGAGAGACGCAGAGATGAAGAAGAGCAAAACGAGGTTAATAAGAAGAGTAGTTGGGGTATAACACTCACACTATTTTTGTTTTCCTTTCTTGTCTCCTGTGTCCTCCTCGCCAGCCATGATTCCAGTGGAAACGGAAAAAAAGAGGGAAAGAGTGAGAAGGAGACGCAGCAAGTGGGAGAAAGACCATTTTTGTGGGGGTTTGAAACGATGCAATTTTATCGGTGTAACCACCTTCTTTTTTGTGTCGTCATGCCATCGGTCACCACTGCCACGCACGCTGTCGGCGGCCGGCGACCGTGTGGCTCAACCGGTAGTGGCGGAAATCCTTCCAAATTTAGGCGGCAAGTTCAATTCTTTGAGGGGCAAATAAGTTTTTTTTTAGTTGTTTTGCTCTCCGATAAGGTTCAATTCGTGTTAAAAGCGCTCAAGTGATCTGAAGGATCGCTCAAAAGAAGCTTATTGTCGGAATAAAAAAAGCTCCTTCCGTTTCAATCGTTTCAGATGTCTGAAGTTTGATGGAACGATTCTCGGGGATGTATACAGACCCAGCTGGAATTTTCTCAAGAGGAGTTTCTGGAATATTCTGGGATTTTTCTTCAGAAGTTCAGAGATTCACTCACCCAGCAAGCAAACGATTTCCAACTTCGGATGAGTATCGATTAGTTTTTCCAATTCCTCCAAATTCATATCGTTCTGCATACAACCCAAAAATCTCAACTCCGGCAGGCATTGCTTACACTCCATGTAGAATTTGAAGTTATTCGAATAATGCACAGTGCTCCTAAAGTTTGAAACGTTGGTCTCCTGTCATTTTTTGGATTTCGATTCTAATTTTATATTTATATTCATATATGACTTTTTTTAAATACAGAAATTTTGAAAATTTTAAATGACTCGAAGGAAAGGATTACTGTAATTTTTCAGAAATCTGAAAGCTCAAAATCGGACAATCAAAATACGTTAAA